GTCCAAATACTCTGTATGAATATAGTTTTCAAGCCATTTTTACAGGGAGACCATCATATGTTGGTCTCTCTTCCGATATCCCTTTCCAAAGCCGTTGTCATACTTAAAACATACCTCGTGAAATTTAGTCATCAGCCGACAAAACTGCCTCTCAAAACATTCGACCGTTTCCTTGCCTTTCATCTGCGCAAAAATCTCATTGGTATACCTAAAACGGGTAATTAAAAATACAGACCTATCTCCTTCTTGCAAAATTCTTTCTTAAATAATTTAAAAGACGTTTACCTCGTAGCAGCCAAGTCAAAATTTGCCACCATGGAAGCAATCGAGATGTCAATACCACTGTTAGCAGTCGGATGGGTAACGTCTATTCCGACATACATCACTGAATCTTTCGCTTCTGCTTCAGGAGTTCTGAAATAATTCGTTATAAAATAAATGCGAAAGTGCAGTTAAAAACCCACTCATTCTTGAAAAGAACAGCCTGATTTACTCCTCCAAGTTTTGCATTTATTTTGAGAGCAATATTGTAGTAAACGGTCCTGAAAATGAATTTTGAAACTCTAGCTAAAGGCAGTGTCCCGGCAGAACGCTTTCCGTTTTTCAGCTTTTCGGGACCTTTTCGACATGGGAAACCCATATCTGGGCTTTTTCGCGGATGAAAATGGTGAAAATAAGATTTTTCAAAGCTTTCCAGGTCCGCATTCGGACTCCTCCCACTTACACATGTTTTCAACTTAATGCGGAAGTGGAAAGCTTCGAGAAAAGCTTATTTTTGCTATTTTTTGTGCTGAAAAGCCCAGATACGAGTTCCTCGTGGCGAGAAGGTCCCGAAAAGATGAGAAAGTGGAAAATAAAATTGGAATTGACACGTACTTTTTCGTATTCTGAACAGCGGACTTCAGCGTAGAAGCATCTATGACTTGACTAGCGATACCATACTTATTGTCACATACCGATTTTATGAGCCCTGCAAACAATCTACCGTAATCGTGCCATACATACCCACAAAAAGTTGAAACAATTGGATAGTGATGACAATGTCATACCGTAAGCTCCTCCACGATTACCAAACGAGTCATTACGATCGTTTATGACTAGCAGCAGAAGGATTTTTTGAGTTCCATTTTGCATGCTTCTAAATCGCTCTTGGGCATCATCCACATATTGTTCAAAATTCGTCGCATCTGTTC